TAGATATATTTAACTATTAATTAATTATAGAATAACTAATTTAAATCTTAAAAGCTTTAAATAGGAAATCTTATATCTCTTTAAGGAATAAGTTACTATAGTATTATAGTAATTTAAGAAGCTCTATATAATACTATATTTCTATCTTTTATTAACTTTAATAATACCTCTTATATTTCTATACCTCACTAATAATATTATATTATAATCTATATTATTAAATTATTTATTTAGTATAGCTAATAATACTTATTAGCTTATAAGTCTTTTAGTCTTTAAATAGTAGTATTATTATAATTACTAATAACTATAGATTTAATATTCTAAGTATTATTATATTATTATTATTACTTAGCATCTTTCTTAATATATCTAATATAATAAACTATAGATATATATTAATTAGTAATAGATTATAAGTAACTAAGTATTATCTATATAGTAGTAAACTCTTACTTAATATTATAAATAAACTAAATTATTAGAGGATTTATTACTCTAGTTAACTACTAAAGCTATTTATTCTAAAGAACCTATATTAAGCCCCCTAATATACTTTTATATTACTTAAAGTTATATAAAACCTATATTAAGTAGATATATAAAGCTATATTATAGGTCTCTTTTTCTATTCCTTAGTAATATTATCTTAATTTCTTATAAAATTTACTAGTTAATTAGTATAAGGATAGAGTAATTAACTAAGTTAATAATACCTCTATAAGTAAATTAACTACTATAGAGGTATTAGATATATATCTTATATCTCTATTATATAGTTATATATTTAAATACTACTATAACTATAATAATTAATAATAATTAAGGTACTAGTAATAGGTTTAACGCATTTTATATATAATATAGTAAAATATATATTATAGTATAAAATTAGCTTTTTTTTATATTTTTACATAAGCAGGGAAAAAAAGGGGGGGCGGACGCTGTCAACGCAACGGACTGTAGTGGTATTACAGCTAGCCACAAAACCCATTTAGTGTTTTCAGACAGTGCAAACTGCCGATGAAAAATTGTCGTGCGGCATGTCTTGCCGGATGTCCACTGATGTCCACTAAGAGTTTAGCCGCTAATCGGCTCAAAGCCCACCACACGCGGGGCTGGTCACGCCAGCACCTAGACTGTCGGAATCGGCCATGGCGCAAGATTGTCTCAGTCGTTTATGGTATAACGCCATAGAATGTAAAGCATATATGCATCTTCATTGTCCCAGTTTCTGAGGTTCGGTCGCTCTGGCAGGGCTTCTTGACAACCTTTGTAGCGCAGAGAACAATGCCGTCAGTACTTAACCCAGCCGAGGACTGCTACAAGAAACCAGCTGAACTTGAAGCCAACCCGGAAATCGGCGGGATAGGGGTGAGTCACTAGCGAACAGAGCTGAGATACCACAACTGATGCAGGGATGTGACCAACCAAGGTCTTGGTAGGCTTCGTGGGAACAGCTTATTTTGTGGTGCTGCTGGTGATCATCCGGTTCTTATTTGCTTTCGATCCGTACAAGAACCCTTTCGAACGTCGGTCAGCAAACGAACTTGATGATCATACACGGAAGCCTAATCATGTGGACGTGGTGGCCGCCAAGGGATGTCAATGGCTGCGGCGGCGACGATGGTTTCGCAATCCACAATTGTGGGAGGGGATATTAGAGAAGGTGGGAAGTCCTTCGAGACTACATGGGGCCCCCTTTCCCAGGCACCTTGTAGATTGTTGATAAAAGCTCGCAATAGTCTAACCTATCACAGGCCGTGCTCGAGATGTGCGATATTCAGCTGCTGACAGGATTCGGTATCCTGCTCAGCGGCTACATCAACTTGTTTATCGATACCATCTCGGCATACCACTGGTATATCATCGTCTATCTCGTCTGGTTCTCAAACCTCACCCACGTCGCTTGTATGACAGTCCTCCGTGGACATCTACATCGACACCCAACCCAGCGCAGGTGGCGCCTAAGCCTAATGTTCATCTTATGGGTGGGCCTGCTGGTAGCGATCGGCCCAACCTTCTGGTTTGACTGGATGGGAACCGAAGAACATCTTGCGTGGGATGTGTCGACAACGAACGCGCGGTGCTTTTACTATCCATCCATAGCGCTGAACACCATGGAATGGAGAGCGTGTCAGGCATCAGTCGAACTCCACAAAGAGAAAGGCAATATCACCTACACTGTAGACGAATGCGTGGCTTCCGACACCTGGGGACCTACGGACATTCCTATGGAATCCCATCTCTCGTTCCAGACAACCATGCTCTCTGTCATTCTGGCAATCTTTACTTTTCTTACCCGGTTGGTGAAGATGAACAGGTCTTGGTCCTTCCGGACTCGGATGTCGATTCTGGACAAACCTATCAACTGGTACTTAGTGCGAACGGCTAAACAGATGAGTGCCAAGAGCAAAAGGCCAGCAAGAAGCATCATCACGAGGATGAGGAACATCGGTATTCTTCTTCGAATCTCATGGGGATTGATGCTGTATACGTATCTCGACATCCTTTCCTCGGAACTCGTCGATGTAAGGACCACCAGAATGATAGAAATCTTGCTAATGCTAATCAACTCTCTTAGACATATTGGCTGTTTACGTTGGCTATTTGGGGTACAGTGCGCCTGCTTCGAGTTCGCGCTTCTGTCGATATCGACGAGAACAAGTGGGGTTTTGGTCAAATTCTTCCCGTGTTTCTCCTAATCGGGCCTGTCGTTGCTTTCGCCGTGCCATTCTTAGGGGCAATGAAGAAGACAACTGAAGAACGAAGCACGGTATCTGTGGAAGATATCTCAGAGGAGAGTCAAAATCAGGTTGAAAGACGATTAACAGCGGATCTATCAGAGACCACCAGTGCTGGCCTACACGATACAGGACCGACTATGAGCGAGGTCTCAGATCCTGATAACAGGCGCTCGAAACGCAATATTCAACCTCTCAATCAGGTGTCCCGGATACGCGTGGAACCAACAGACTTTGGCGAAATCCAGTCAAGTGGACTTCTATCCGCACGGCACATGAGCACAGCAGACATCAACACACAGATGCGAGATTTACTTGTCGCTCACTGTTCATTAGAAACAGTAACGATCGATGCTAAGAACCTGAGAAGCCTCCTCAGGGAATACTACACCGAGTCGAAGTGCATGGAACAGGTTATCGTGCTAGCATGCGCCCAGGTAATTCCCGTCACTGTCGCCTTCTTTCTGGCGTTTCATGGCGTGAAGATAGGCATCATCGGAATCTTTGCGGCCGATCCCGATCTGGATTCAGAAAATATCCTACTCTTCTTGGCCAACGTCGTCATTATTCAGCCATTAAACTGCCTTTGTGCAATATTTCTGGGCTTCGCACTGAGAAAAGGGCGTGGGATCAAGCGGGAGGTTTTGAGAGTGCCCATATATCTCTGGGCTCTATTCGGGATAGATGTCGTATCCGTCACGGTATTTTCAATGCCGTTTGATGTGGCGTTCTGGCTTTTTGGCATGCTTATAATATCAATGATACTGCTAATTTGGAGGTAGAATTCTTTTCCTGCAGCCAGTATGACGCCGCTACGTAGCAGCTTCATCTCCGATAGTTGCAGAAATTTGATACCTTCTTCATGCCTAGCAACAAACCACATGTGATACTAAGAGCAAATATGAGGAGTCCGATATCTTACACAACTTGCCTAGCCCGTGGATGGGCCTCGTGAAATGAAAGATGCATAAACCAATTTGTCGATGTCGACAAACTTGGGGTGAACTATGTCCCATCGAGTGTGGGTTGATGCCCAGGACATTTCCACCGCTTTAATTTCCATACGCAGATTTCAATTAGTACTTCCACCATGTTGCCTGTAGAAGCTCAGCTCCGCACGCTTCCTTTCCAGTACCGATGCAAATCAATTGGAATAGGATGTGTATTTCTCAGTTGAGGAAAGAGCATACAAGGCTGCGATTGTGTTGCCTCACGGGATGTCTGAGTATGAGGTCTCACCGCAGCCTAAGCTCATACAAGCTCGTGCATAGATATAGCCTCGCACGCATGAGGACTTTATGCAATGCATTTGATGGCATCACAATGGGCGTCGATAGATAGTGGCTACTGGTTCTCACTGGCTGCATGTTTCAGCAGCCGCTGTGATGGCCTGGAGTAATCATGCATGATTTCCTCAGCTCTGATTGATGCCACGCCACCTCCAGCTGCAGCCAAGAAATGGTCAGCAGGCTTTTAAGTATCAAGGATCATCTTCCAGACCAGCCTGCTCAATACCCGAAGGTCTGTAGAATACATGATACCCTCCCGCCGCGTCAAAATTATGTTCCTGTCACGTATCCTACCAAGTACCATCGTCTTTTTTTAATTCTTATCCAACCAGAGATATCCTATCTTGGCGATCTATCGTATTATCTGTCAACAGTATTCAGAAATACTCACCCGATGAGATGGGGTACCTAGAGAACCTAGAAAGGCTCTGCTACACAAAGCCAGAGGAGCTGGAACCGAACCCCGACGTGGGGGGTATCGGGGTAAGTTTACCACCAGACCGGCATTCCACTTCCTGTGGTCATATATTTAGTTTAACATTCAAGGTCTTGATTGGATTCATCTGCACCGCATGGTTCGTGTTATTCCTCGCGTTCGTACGCTACGTTATTGCGTTCGATCCCAATGCGAATCCTTTCCCGAACAATGACGACATCGCACCTGTCTCAGGTGACAGAAGCCAGCAGAAGGCAAATATGGTTGATGAGCATGTCATTGGAATGAAGTTGTTCCAATGGTTACGCCAACGCCCCACGTTACAAAGCCCGGCAAGATGGGAGGACGCACTGAGAAAGGTGAGTACCAGGGCGCTCTATCGATCGTTCTTGCTTGGCTCATGCAATCTGCAGTCTGCCTTGAGTTTATGCGATGTGCAACTCCTCACAGGCTTGGGTATTCTTTTTAGCGGATACATCAATCTTGGACTCGACGCTATATCTGCTTACCACTGACACATGGTTGTTTACCTTGCTTGGTTTTCGAACTTGACACACATAGCGTGTCTTACTCTTTTGCGAGGATACCTCCACCAGCACCAAAATGAACGGAGATGGCGATTAGGACTCATGCTCATCTTATGGATGTTGCTTCTGGTGGCGATTGGGCCCACACTATGGATGAACTGGATGTATGACGACAGTTACCCAGGCTTACCTAGCACCAACGCGCGTTGCTTCTTTCATCCATCAGTGGCATTGAAAACCATTCAATGGAGAACATGCGAAAAGTACCGCGAAGATGATGAGGTTGCAGAATGTGTGGCAGCTAGCGACGACGGTGAGGCCTTTTTGAGTTCAACCGAGGCGCTTCAGTCCGCAGTAACGTCAATCGTTTTGACCGTATTCACATTCTTCACACGGATGGCTAAGATTATTCAACAATGGTCGATCACCATCAGAAGGAATGTTAGGTCAAGGGCTAACAAATTTGACACAAGCGCCATTTTGTCTTTGTTACAGAAGCCCCGTACAGGGTGGAGAGCCCGACTTTGGACTTCCATCTTATTTCTCCGAGTAGCGCTGAACTTGACGGCAAGACTCTATGCTGATCTCGTATCCTCCGAGCTCTCAGATGTAAGTATCTGTTTATGCGATACGGATCTTCCAAGGTTTAACATGATTGTAGAACTAACGAATTATGTCTCTGTCAGGTTTACTGGCTGTTTGTTTCTACGGTTTGGGGCACTCTGCGCATCATTGGCGTGCGACTCTCCGTCGAAGTGGATGAGAATTCGTGGGAATTCGGGCAAATACTGCCTGTGTTCTTGCTCATTGGACCCATAATGGCAACGGTACTACCAATCATAGTCAGTAGACCTGTGGTAACCGGAAATCCGGGCTTGAATATCTCGACTGTCGTCGGATCGCATTTGGAGACTTCTGGAACACCACAACGCCAGGCCCAAATCGAACCCACAGGGCCTGATAGAATAAGACCCATTTCTGCACCATCGACGTTTTCTCCCAACACAGAAATGACGTCTTCTGAAGGCGTAACGACCTCAGCAGAACCTACACAAGAGAACCCAACCACATCGTCAACACAAGCACTGAATAATGCGTTGCAGCCTTTGTCCAGGCTCTTGAGGTCAGCACGACGTACAGACTGGACCTTGCCCCAAGTTGCTGCGGACGACATCGACAACCAGCTACGGTCGTACTACAGACAGGACCAATGGATGGAACAGGTCACCGCTCTAGCCTGTCTCCAGGTGATTCCGGTAACGATCATGGTTCTTCTCGAAATGAGTGGAGACGGTGTAAATAGAGTAAACAACGCGCTCGTTATTACGCTATCGTACTCTACAAACATAATCCTGCTTCAACCCTTCAACTGTCTATTCGCGGTGCTTTTCGATCTAATTTCTCACGAAGAACACCCATTTCGAAAGCAAATCTTTGGGCTCCCCATGACAGTCTGGTTTCTCCTGCTGATTGCTATTCTACCGTTTCCATTGTTCGAAGGCGTTGGCTACGACATAGCCAAGCAACTTGAGAGATTTGCTTGTTTGGGGGTGCTTTTGTTCGTTGCCCCTCAAGTTGCTAGAAGACTTGGAACCATCAAAAGAGCGTGTCACGGCGTGATTAATGCTTTAGAAGGAATTTACACCTGGTACAATTGAAAATGGTCTAATGTTTTAGCAAAACATATCGGTGATTTGTGGTGCCCAAGGACGCTCCGACTTTGGATTTTTAATACAGGATGAAACTGTCTTGAAACCCGGCATCTTCGTGCAGTCATGAATGAGTATACGTCAGTGAATTGAATGGTGACATTTCGACGTCATGTGGGCAAGAGGCCATAATCTTGACTCGCTGGCCCTAACAGTGCTAATGCATCTGTTAATTCTACCCTACACTGATATTTTAACCATCACTGCATTCGGCATACGTTCCAATGTAGCATAACCATCTTATGGACTAAACTTCTCATCGCTTTTCTTGTCGACATTTTGTACGGCGACATGTCATTCTTTGGCAGTTTGATGCATTATCCAGGCTCTACCGCTTCTTGCCCTTAGTCTTATCCACAAGGTCCATCCACTTCTTCTCAACACCCCTCTTCTCCAGCGCCTTGACCACCGCAGCCTGTTGCGGACCCTGTACCATGATCTCCATGACCTGTGCCTCAGTCTTCTTCGCCGCACCAGCCAGCGGCTCAACACTCGTAGACCCAGCGCAGACCTTTCTCAACTCGTCAGCCAGCGGCTTCGGGCTGATGTGGTATGGTTCCAGCCCGGACACTTTAGTGACAGTCTTGTTTCCGCTCCTTGTCTCGAGGGTGATGTGGATCTTTGGCGGCGACCCGCTTCTGGCCTTGACGCTGCTGGGGTCTGTTCCGTTTCGGACGATGGCGTATGATGTGGACATGCCGCTTAAGACCCTGTCAATGAGAGCATCTCGGGCCACAGTGCCCTTGGCGAGTGCGTCCTTGTCAGCGGCTCCAGAGCCAGTGAAGACGCCATTGGCAAGTATCGGGTTGAGCTTGACGATGCGCTTGTTCGTCTCAGACACCAAGTTCTCTCCTTCGATGTAGGTAGTCACGGCATCGCGCACTTCTGATTGAGTGAACAGCGACTTTGAGGCCGAGTCGAAGATGGGTTGGAGTTTGGATGTGGGCTTGAAGTAGGAGACAATCTTCAGCTTCTGTCCCACCGCGTCGTCGCCAACATCGACCTTGCTCGTGGCAGTCTCGCCCCGACCAAGTGATGTGCCGCCAGCCGTCTCCTTCTTGGGTAGGCGATATGGTTTGAAATCAACAATCGCGGGGTTCTCGAACTTGACTTCCGTAACAACCGTCTCCTGGCCTTTCTCTTTGCTCTTCAGAAGCCCCTCTTTGTCGAGGCTCTTGATGAATTTCTTGATGTTCTTCCACGATGTCTTCTTGATTTGCAGTTGCTGTGCCTGCTGTGGTGTGTGCGCGGGCAAAAAGGGCTGAATGAGGGTCGACATGACATAAGACTGGGATAGTGGGAAAACGAGGCCGTAGTTGGGCGGCGAGTTTGAAGACTTGTGTTGGTGGATGCCGAAAAGGAATGACTTGCGGAACGCCTCATCGATCTCGGGCTGTGTGAAGTCGGGGATATCGTCTTCGGGTGCTGCTGGGCCGGCGTCTTCGGCGGTGGCGTCGCCTTCAAGAGAAACCCCTCCATCCTCATCCGGGTCATCCAGGGACAGCCCGCTCAAGCTCTCAACTAGTCCACGCGCCTCCAGGACCTTCAACCATCCCGCAATCTCTTCCGGAGCCTTCCTGCCTGGCTTGTTGTCGGTGCTGAACCCCCACATCTCGTCGCCGGCCCAGTGCAAATTCTTGACAGCATGGCCCTTCGCACCCCGCACGTTCTGCAGCGCGCTGACGTTGATCTCACACGCTCCAACCGCAACAGGCACCGACGGGTTCTCCAAGCTTGCGATGGCGACGACGGCACCCTTCTTCGCCTTCTCGGGAAACGGCGGCCCGCCGAACAAGCCGGGAGTCATCAGATCGGCGCCCCCCTGAAGCTTTTTCACGACAATGCCCGGGGTGTGGAGAAGCGGGACGATATCGGAATTCGCCCAGAGGGTGTACACCGTGGGGTAGACGACGTCTTCCATCTGGAACCATAGAACGCGGGGCTCCTCGCCATCATGACTGCCGACGTAGTAGGTGCCGGAGGTCGGCTTCAGATCGGGGCCGTATGTGGTGGTGAAGCGGGCGGACTGGAGATTGTCGGGGAACAGAGATTTTCGGAGATTGGTCTGCACGGCAAGCGCTTCAGCCTTTTGCTCTGGTGTTTGCTCATCCGTGGTTGCCACGAGCTTGGAGTCGAGACCGTAGTCCTTGATGACCTGATCTGCGAGCTTCCTACGGTCGGAGGACCGTAGGGGTGAGAGCGACTTCACCGTAGGCTTCTTTTTGAACATTTTCGCAAGATCGCGGGTTGCGGCTGGCAGATTGTTGGGTGAGTGATCGGGAAGTGGTGAAGGAGTCCACTCAAATACAGCGTCTCAAAGGGACCTCAGCGGCTGACGTCATCCGCCAAACGCTCCAGTGAGATGGTCATTGCGTAATAATTTCGCGGTCTTTGTTTTCTAGGGCAAAATTATTGATAAAATACACAGAGCAGTATCTGATAAAATTCCTTACTAGTTTGGATCTCGTAAAATATTATTGAAAATCTGTCTCAGATGAATTCGCAGGCCTGGGGTGTTGCTGATGAAGAGCTTGGCAAGAAATTTGACCGTTTTCGCAATAATTGAGCAGAGTAGCCAAGGATCAGATCACGAAATCACTAAGAGCAAATGATAATTAGGAACTCCCAAATTCTGAAACTCAGCTTTCTTCCAATGACTATTACTTTTGTATCAGAAAACAATATGCGCTGTAGTCTAGTAGCCACCTAGGTCTGCAAGATCCTCTCTTCTCGACTTGCTCTTAGGGTCAAGGTACGGCTTCTCGCCAACTCCAGATCCTCTACATCCATGCCGATCACCCATTTCCCAGAAGTCATAAGTGGCTGAATGGTAGAAACTGCGATTATCCCAGATGGCTTTCACAATAAATTAGCATCATCCTTCTCATAGGTTTCTTGAGCAGAAAATGCTTACCAAAGTCGTTCGAATCCTTCCACTTGAACCGCACTTGCATGGTATGGTTCTTGTAGACCAACTCATGGAACCAATCGATGAGCATCTTACTCTCCTCTGCCGTCACACCGTTAATGTGTTTGACCATGCCGCCGATAGCGAACACGCTCTTCCATCCCGTCACGGGGTTAGTCCTCACAACAGGGTGTACAGCTTTAATTACATCCCCGACATTTTCGGGGTTGCCGCGCTCTTTAGCATAAAGCTTGATTCCCATAGCATCACACATTTGCTTCAGACCAGGCGGTTCAAATGTGCAGGTAAGGGTTTCCAGGAACTTTTGGTAAGGCTCGCTGCAACACGTTAACATGCGGAAGAGTCTGGTGACTGAGGACATTGCTGCCTACCTGATCTTGTCGTATAATTCATACCCATTGGCCCATAGAGTATCACCGCCAGTAGCAGGCATCGTAGTGAGACGTAAGCACGAGTAGTCAGCCGGTACTGGCTCGAAACAGCAATCGCTATGCCATTCCGAAGTGTTCTGCTTTTTAGGGCAGAGTGCATCAGGTGCCAGATCCTTATTCCTCACGAATGAAGGTTTCGTCTGCTTTTGGTGGATATAGCTGACGACATGATCATCTCCCTGGTCGTCTCTTTCGGCGTTGAACACCGGGTGAATATGAAGCCCAGACTCCGCAGGACGGCAAGTCAGCTCTCCAAGTCGGGTGAGAAGCTCTTTTTGGAGCTCAGGGGTAAGATCGTCCTGTTTGCGGAAGAACACAACACCACGTTGAGAAACTGTTCGCCATATCAGCATCAGTACAGCGAAAGAACTAGATGGTGGGGCTAAGTGATCACTTACCAGTGATGGCGAGATCACGGATTAGCTCATCTGAATTCGGGGCCTTGAGCCAGTCCACGATGTTGGCAGTGGGAAACTCGCGACCGGTAATAGGAGTCGGATCAAAAGACTCGAAGGCATCTAGAGCTCCGGACTGCTTGAGTGGCTTTGTTGAAAAGGCTGCCTTGGTTGCTGAGACATTGACAGGGATGTCCACTTCGATACTAGCGGGTGCCATTGTGAAGTGCTAACTAGATGGTTTTGGATGTCGATGCCTACTCCTCACGCTATGCGCTGGTTGCAGTCTGCTACTGTTTGAGGTCTCGTAGTTTCACAATACTTTATATGTGTGTGCTGAGAGCTTTACTAGTCTTTCAATACATCGGTAGTTGCTTGCACTGATAATGGTTGACACTGATTTTTGGGAGACCCGTGCCCCCGAAACCGAATCGAATTGCAAACCCAAGCGGTACCATTGGCGATAACCATAAGAGTGACCAAATCAGAAGTCGGCTAATGGACAAAAGGACAATGTCCGATAATGCAGACATCAAAGTCTCCGTATTGACTCGGCCGAATGCCAACCTGACCTGTCGGGGAGCCAATACCGACGTCTTCGGAGGTTATGAACACAGAGACTGAGTCTGTCCGAAGTCACTTAAAATCTTCCTCAAATTTCCAATTCTCTATCAAACTTTGTTGCCGGTAACTTCCGAATGCACAAAAGTCCCGAGAAACCATCCGCAAATTTGAGGTAGTGCGAAAAGGTCCTTATTACAACGGACCGAAGATGACAATCCATGCGACTTGGCATAGTGACGGCCCTTACCAAATAAACCCAAGAAGTCCGTAAAAGTTCCGTATCGCCTGCAGCTTAGTTGGCAGTGTCTATTAGTTCGCACAAATTGGACGATCATATGATTCAACTTCGTCGGC